GTCACATTCTGAGTCCCAAGCAGCACACATTTTGCACACCTTCAAGAAAGAAGAAAACCATGACGTTCTGGCACCAGGTTTTGCAAGAAGCCTGCCTTGCAGTGAGCGCAGAGTGGCTGGAACAGTGCCTGCAGCAGGCTGCACACATCCCGCTGGCAGCTCCCAGCTCCAGAGCAGTGAGCACGGCTGCACTCTCAGCACGGGTCATGATGCTGGCATGCAGAACAAAGCGAGAAGCAGCAGCAAGCAAGTGCAAAAGGGTCGGGATTGAAGGCTGACACCAAATGTCACACTGGGACAAAAGTTTGGGCAGTCCAGAAGGAACAGCAATTCAGCTCTGCAGGAAGAGGCTGTCATCTGTAAGGCCCCGATGTCACAAACTCTGTATAGCTGGAAAAAATCAGGTGTTAGGCTGTACACTCAAGGCTAGCTGATACTTCTGATGGTTTTGGCTTTAATCTGTAAGTTTTTCTTTCTCTTTTTCTTGTATCATGAGATACAAGCCATTGTTACCATTATCCAAGTGTATTATCATAGCTGTAGAAGCCTCATACATGAATCGGGATCCTGCTGTGCAAAGTACTGTACGAGCACTTCACATCACAGCAGTGTTGTGTAGATACTTCCACCAGTATCTGCAATAAAGTAAGATGTCTTCATAAGAACAACAAAGAATCTCAAAAAAAAAAAAAAAAAGAATAAATAAACAGTTCTGCCTCAGATCTGGACATGATTCTGCAGAGGATGAGCACCGAAGGATTGAGATAAAAATCAGCATGAAGTAGTGACACAGGTGCTGAACGAAGCAGGAGTGCTCAGAATAAAATAGAAGTACACCATGTCATGATAAAGATAGCATGATAACTCACACACATAAGAGTTAAGAGAGGAATACCTGCATTTTCTGCTTGTGGAATCCTTGATGTTAACATAGGCGTTTTATTAATTGGGTAACGCCAGTTCTTGAAAGACACCCGAATCCTCTTAGCTCCTTGTATGGAAGATTTGCTGAGAAAACAAAAGGAATGTGTCCAGGAAGTCAGTGAGGAGCCACTGAACTGCAGCACTAACAGCTAACTGGACTCAGGGTCCTGACTGGGCTGTCTGAGGGCAGCAGACAGCCGCTGTCCTCACAGTATCAACAAAGCAGGAAAGAGAACTGGGACAAACGTTCTGCCTGGCTTTCACCAGCCCTGGTGACCCATAAGCATGCTTCTACCTTGGTATTCAGAACGCTTAAAAGCCACACTGCCAACACACAGATGGATGTGTAACATGCAAGTTCTTCATTACTGACATGGCAGGGCTGTTGTTGGTGCTCACATTTTGTTTTATTATGCAGTAATACATAGAAATATAATCAGCAAAGCAGAGGTCTTCCTTTTATGTAATCTGCTCTTGTTTTGGGGTTTCAAAACCCTGCGTGACTCTCCACAATCTCCACAGAGCACAGCTGTTTCAAAGCAAAGATGTTCACTCACACTGCAACAGAACCTATTTCTGTTGATTTAAAATTTAGGGTTTTTATAAGCTTTGAATTTGGAAACCAATGCAATTTGGCAGCATCCTTCTACCTGCACTTCCTTGCAAAAGAAACAGCACACGCAACTAACGGGAACCCGCCTGCACAAGTATGTGCCGCACGCCTGCTCTTCGTGCCAAGTGCAGCCTGTCATCAATTCCCCACATAACTGGCGTGCTGGAGGAAGGCTGGAGAAGAATACTGCTTCCTCCACCTGCTGGCGAGGAGGAAAAACAGAGGTCCTGACTGAGCAGAAAGGAGAGACGAGGCTTCTGCAGCTGCTCCCCAAGAGAAGCGAGGGAGAAAAGCTCCTGGTTCTTGCAAAGGGGAAAATCAGGCTTATGGACAGGAGGCACCCAGCAGGAAGGGCAGAGAAGCCTTCACACGAGAGTGTAAGGAACAATGAGCAATGCATGAGAGCTGCAGAACCAGCCAGAGGAACAAATGCCTGCCCACACTGTAAGGAACCATCCAGTTGCTGAGGACCGAGCGCCTTGGCCTTCCCCAGGCACCGCACACAGGCTGGGCTGGAGGTGGTCAGCACACAGCTTATCTACTGCTGACATAAGTGTAGCTGGAGATTTCTTGGCTAACACATACTGACTATATAACACAAACAAAAGCTCAGTTCTTTGCTCTAACATGTGCAAGATGACAAGTGGAGAAAACACCCACAGAAACGTCAACATGAGTGTTACTTCACAGGCCCGCAATATCATCTCTTCATCCTTACACTCACTAACAGGTGCATTAATTTAAAATATCTTAAGTTACACTGAGTATGCTGAGAGAGTACTAATGAAGGAGATCTCACTGGGAAAATTGGGCAGCCTATACATCACGCAGCGGGCGTCATTTAACGGCCTGCAGTCACTGTGGTAACCCATACACAAATTCACCTAAGTTGTTTCCAATAACAAACTACATGCATCACCCAAGCTACCCTGGAGCTTTATGGCAGGAAACCTTATGATCACGTTTCACTGAGCTAAGAGGAAAGACAAGGAAACTACAGCAACCTGAATAAACCTGTAGCCTGTTAGCAACTGCCAAATACTACTTTCATTTAGTCAACAAAAACCCTGCTAGGGCAAGAGACCAAGGATGTACACACCTCAGACTGAGCGTCTTTACACCTTGTTTTTACTTCATTAACTCAAACTTGCCAATTTCTGCTTCAATCATGAGCTGTTTATTGTTGCCATATGGATGACAAGAAATCCAATGGTCGTGTTTCACATTAAAAGCATAGCTAATCACACAGATATCTTCATGAAATGCCACAGAGTGAAAGAGAGTGTTAAAGGATGGGAAAAGCAGAAAGGCCAAACAGGAGAAGAGCCCAGTGAGGACAGCTGGCTGGGGACGCAGTGTGACTTCCAAGGTCCAGCCTTGCAATCTGTTACCATACAGACTCAAATACCTGCTAACCACTGAGTAAAGAAAAGGCGATTAGCTAAACCAGCAGCAGAATAGGAAGCAAACAGAGCAGACCGGAGCGACCTTGGGACTCGGCTACCTGGCTGCTGGTTGTCAGACAATTTGCATGGGAAGCAGTGCCAGGAACAGAGCCGGCTCTCTCCTGCATCCCCTGCTGGACATTTGGCCACAGCCAGGCCAACTGTTGGGCCTGCTGCACATGCTAGATATGACAAGGACGTGAGAAAGAGACGGGAAGAGGGGAACTGGAGGGAAGCACTGTGCCTCTCTGAGCAACCATTCCTGCACTGAGAGCAACCGGCCAGTTGGGGAGACACTCAGAAAGCAAGAAATGAGCTTTCTGTTTATTTGGACTGGACTCCTGGCAGCTTGCTTTTATTCTGTGCACAGACAAAACGTGGGTATTTTACATATGCTCACAGATGTTAAGTTCAAACACTCACGCTGCACCACAACTTGCCTCTAGACTAGTTAATAATTATGAAGTGCCACACGCCGAGGTTTATGTTACCGCAGTATAAAACTAACACCCCTGCGAGGATTTGTTTAGCTTCTACATACCAGCTGCTAGAGCCCGTGTAACAATTTTACTGCACTTAAGATCACACAGGTACTTTGATTTTCACTCTCCATCTCAAGATGGGATCAACGAAATATATATATATATATATATATATATGTATATAAATTCATACAAATTCAGCTCAGGCCATATTACTGCGTATCCTGAGCTGCTGGTAGAGCAGAAGTGTACAACAGATGCAAGCAGCAAAAGGACTGGGTGTGTTGTTAATGCGGATGTGCATCTTTGCTACATCCTTTCCACAGGGAGTCCTTCTCAAATACAAATCTCAGTTACAGCACAGTCCAATTTTTCTATTGCTGATTATCCAAGAGTTTTAAAAAGTCTTCAATATATTCTCTTATTTACTGCATCATGTATTCAACTCCAAAATAATCTTCCTACAAAATAATAGTAAATAGTACAGCCTAAATAATATAGCCCTGGAGCTTTTGTTAGCCTGAAATTGTGAGACAGCCAAAACAGCAAACTTTAAAAACCCTACATTTGGAGTGAGCATGTGCAGAGATGTCCATCTCTGGTTTCTCTTCAGCCAGCCTCCAAATGAGCTAATAAACTGAAAGCATACATGATCTGACTCCACGGCTTGGCTGAAACCTCAGTTTCACTGTCGGCACAAAGATATTTGGTTGCAAAGTAAATGTCTCTTATTAAAGCCAGCGCATCTACAATTTCTTTTGCTGTTTTACAGTTGCCTCTGGGTGCATGCTGAGCTCCCAGACAAGTGAAACGGGAAAATAAATGAAACAAAACCTGTAGTGTGACTGGGGAGATGCCTTGCTTTTAGATGAAGCCTGGTGAAAACTCGATTAGTCTGCTTCACAAAAAGAGCTGGGCTAAGACCTCTTTGAAAAACCATCTCCGGGCAGCCAATGCCTGCTTCTCGCTCGCCGGTCCTCTGACACCGAGAATGACACGAACTCTGGCTAATGCGTGCACTTCTCCAGCCGCACTTCTGTGCTCCGGTACCGGCGGGGACACGCCGAGTTCGGGCAGGACTCGGGGCTCGAGCACCGGCGCTGCCGAGCAGTGACACGGATCGGGGAAGCCAATGGCGCTGCGGTTTTTTTTTAGGTGTCAGCAACGTTCAGGTCACAAAAGTATGACCGAATGACGGCTTTTAGAGCTGCAGAAGCGATGCCTGCCATTCTGACAGCGCTTTGTAAGCGGTGTCGGCTGGCTGGGGAACGTGACAGGTTTCCAGTTGAGAAAGAATAACTATCCACGGGAGACCAGTGTGTCAGAGTCAAACAAGCACAGCAAGCCACCCTCTTTTTCCAGTAACATCATTTCTAAACGCACCGATGAGCTGCCAGCCACCCAGCCACCCCACCCCCCAAAAAGGGGAGCTCCTGCGTAAAACCGCGCTGCGCGGAGCCCCTCGGACCCGACCGGCGCTGCAAGGAACGCCAAGCGGCGGAACCCCGGGGCAGCCCCTCCGCCCGCCTCACTCACCACTCTGCCGGAGAACCGCTCGATGGCCCGCTTGACTTTGCCGTAGGTGCCTTTGCCCAAGGTCTCCTGCAGCTCGTAGCGATGCTTCAGGTTGTGCTTGTGGTGATGCCGTTTCACCCCCTGCTGCTTCCTCGGCCCCGCCGCCGCCGCCGCCGCTACCCCCGGGGACGCAGCCTCCCCGAGCGGCTCCTCCATGGCCGCTGCCGCCGCCTCTCCGCCGCCGGCCGGCGCGGAGCCGCAGGAGGAGCAGCGGGGCTGCGCGGGGCTGCTGCTGCAGCTGCCGCGGGCGGCCGCCTCGGCGCCCTCCATGCCCGGCGGCGGCGGGCGCTGGTGTGATCGCCCCGCCGGCCTCGCAGCCTCTGCCTCAGCCCCGCGCCCGCGCCGGCACCATGGGGCGCGGCGGGGCGGGGCGGCGGCGCCCCGACATCCCCTCCCCTTCCCCGCCGGCCCCTCCGCCCCGCCCGTGCCGGCCGCACCGCCCCCTCGGCGGAGAGAAGGCGGGGAGAGAGCCGTGTCCCCCCGCGCTGGGGGTAGAAGCTGCGTTGGCGGGGCCGAGGGTGCGCGGGAACTGCGCGGTGGGGCGTGGGCACCTGTGGAGCGGGTGTGCGGCCACGGGCTGTGCGGAGAGGCGAAGCCGTGCCAAATCTGGGTCTGGAAAGTGTATTTTTTTTTTCCAGAAAACACTTTAATTTTCCCCAGTAGCCGAACGGGCGACGGTTTCCTGTAGGGTTTCCATGTAACTGGAACGCACATGAAAAACATGGGCACGCCCAGCCCCTGCTTGGCAGGGCTCACATCGTCAGGGCTGCCAGGGAGGTTTGCCATATGGAGCCCACTGTGCCCCAGTGCTGCTGTGATCCCCATTCAGGCAGTGCAGCCTCACAAACACAAGCTGAGCAGGCTTTCACAACGATCTTTGGAAATCCTGAAATCATAGAATCACAAAACGGTTTGTGTTGGAAGGGACCTTTAAAGGCCATCTAATCTAGCTGTGCTGCAATTAATAGGGACACCCACAACGAGATCAGGGTGCTCAGAGCCCCTCCAGCCTGACCTTGGATTTCTCCAGGGTTTGGGCATCTACCGCCTGTCTGGGCAACCTGTGCCAGTGCCTCTCAGCACTTAGTGTAAAAGTCTTCCTTACATCCAGCCTGAATTTCCCCTTTTAGTTTGAAACCGTTTCCACTTGTCCTATCACAACAGACCCTGCTTAACAGTCTGTCCCTGTCTTTCTTACAGCCTCCCTGTCGATACTAAAGGCTCAGGCCTCCCCTAGAGCCTTCTCTTCTCTGGGCTGAACAACCCGAGCTTTCTCAGTCTGTCCTCATAGGAGAGGTGTTCCATCCCTTGATCACTTTAGTGGCCTCTGGATGCACTCCAACTGCGTCTCTCCCAGAGTGCTGAGGACTCCAGATCTGGACACAGTACTCCAGGCGAGGTCTCACAGCACAGAATAGAGGCAGGATCACCTCCCTTGTCCTGCTGTCTGCAAACTTCCCTTGATGCAGCCTAGGACATAGTTGGCTTTCTTGGCTGTGAGGGCACACTGCTGGCCCACATCCAGCTTCCCATCCATCAGTATCCCCATAAATGCCAAAATGCCCACCAATACCCTTATCTTGCCTCCCACACTTGATTCTAGATCATTGGGAGACAGGTTATCAGCTTGAGCCCCAGAGCCTGAAATGCAGCATCCCTCACAGAATGCACTGCAAACTGTCTGGTCCAAAGCAGAAAGAGCAAGAGAAGCCTGCTTCTCTGTTACCATACAGAAAGAGAGCCGTGTCCTCCTGCAGCCCCTTCCTTTACTTTAATCATGGAAAGGATGAAATCTTGTCAGAGAACTGGCAGCACAGAATGGTGCCTTTGTCTGCCACAAGGAGTGACAAACTGTCTTGGCGCATGTTCACCTCAACACAGCTTTACTTAAATAGATTAAATCTGACTCTCAATCTCACCAAGTGCCAAAGGTGCAGCAGTCTGTCCAGATGAAAGTCCTGCCTGGCTCCTGCAGCACCAAAGGCAGCTGGCTGTGCCCTGGGTGCCCCCCTGGGGCGGGAGGGAAGCGTGTCTGGCTGGGGTTGGCCTGGGAGCTCCCTCTAAGCTGAGCTTGGTGTAGCCTCCTGTGCAGCTCTTGGATAATCCCAGCTATTAAAATACATTTCATTATGTTGCATGCATGAGTATTGTTAATATTCCTGAGATTAGTCTCTTTTAACTACCTGGAGACCTACAGCACCAATTCCACAAGGAAGTCTGTCACAAGAATCGTTGGGGGCATACTGTGATTGATATAAGGCATAGTAAATAGCAGAAGCTCCAAAATGAAAAATGCCATTTTTATAATGGAATAAGCACAGTACTCTGTAGCATGCAAATGCCATGGTTCCTTTCAAATCTCCACACTCGTCAATGTGAAGCCAGAAGGCATTAAGCAAATTAAGTGTACAAATTAAAACTGGGCACAGGAGCATCTCTGTGCTCACATGAAATAATGGAAATGGAAAATAATGATAATTAGAGAAGTATACATAAGATGAAGTGTATCGCTTTTATGTGGAAATGTTTCCTTTTCAGTTGTAACATATTGTCACCTTTGTAATCTATATTGTCATTACAGGAATAAAAATCATGAGAGCAAATAGTCAAGCAGTGCCCTTTACAATATCTACAAGAATACCAAGAAGTAAAAACCACAGAAGAAATGAGAGGCAATGATAGAATGGAGGTGGACAGTCTTAAATATGGCTTTTTCAAGATATTTTGCATCACTCTAGCTGTTCCGTGTCACTGTAAGAAATGCAGTGTCTCCTCGTTTCTGCCGTGAACAGTTGGTGAGGATTTCAGTGCTCTGAGTTCGCAGGCACCACCAGGGGATTCTTCATTTCTGACATTGTTATTTTATGTAAATGTTTTTCTTTATTCACAGAAGGAATTATCCTCCCATTGAAACCAGTAGATCTCTGCTAACCAGCTTCAAAGGAAATAGGATTAGGCTTTAATTTGCAAAATAGCATTGCAGAATATGTTGTACCAAATCTGAACTGTATAAATGATCAGAATAACAACAATAAAACCATTGATTTCAGTGGGCTTATCTTCCTTAAGTCAGTGTGAATTGAAGAAAAATCTTAAGATGGCAACATGTCAGCAACATAAGTTTATCACAAAACTCAGTACGTTTTTAGGATTAATTTTTGCTGTGAACTTTCAAGCAGCACAATTTCTTTGGTATTTGACATAGAGACATCCTTGCCATTTAATATTTTCAAGCAAAGTGCAGCTTGTTGGATCAAGTTGAAGTGCTCAGCACTGTTCAGCCTTCAAATCTAAAGATTGCATAACTGCAAATATTTGGAAGATGCTGGCAGGCAAATCCAGAGGACATTCCCTCAACTGAACTTTCTCCTCTCTATGAGCTCACACTGATAGGAAGCTTTTTGGCCGGATGAAGTGAAAGCAAGCTAATGTGCTCCACTCAATGATAGGGATTATCCTGTAGAAGGAGATGCGCCTGGCATCCATCTGCTTCCTGCAGCAGGTATCTGCATATTATCTGCCCTGCCAGACCACATCCAATCCTTGAAATTGCGTGAGCTATGGAAATTACAGCAGTGACGCCAGTTCAGGATTAAGGCTGTAACGCTCATTTTCTCTGTACTGATTCCTGTAAACCTTTACCTTGACAAGCAGTCACCTTTTGAGGTGTAGCTCAACCAGGCAGTTGTATGTCCATGGAGCATATTCTAAAATTCCATTTAGAAGCCTTGACCTTTCTTCAGTGGATTTAACGAGGAATTTAGGCAATGACTATGTTATCATCTTTTCCTTCACACTCATTGCTTTTTTCTGCTAGTTGATGTGAAGCACAGAGGATACCAACCAGCTGGATTTACATCTCCAGGTTTGAAAATCATTTACATATTTACATATGCATGTATGTGCCTGCATGCTTATGTCACACACACATACAGAATTTTAATCCATTTCACATCTGCTTTTCCATACTCAGCCATTATGCACAGTTCCCAAAACCTTTGCAGTGCCTACATTGGGGCAGTCAGTGTGGCTGACCAACAGGGAGAAGGTATCCAAAATTCACCAGTGAGAAAACCAACATGTAGATGCTGAGGCCCAGTGTTTCTCCTACTGCAGCGTACAGGATTTCCAGAGAGATTAAGCACGTGCATTTCCTTTGTCTGCTTTCAAATTTCTTGTTTGGCTTAGGTACTCCTTCAGAAAATATTGATGGTGGTATAAGTGTTTATTGTGTTATTTATATATTACTTTTATTAAATAAATGATAAAGGCTTCCCTTCCACCCCCTGAACATAAATCCTTTCCAAATTAAAGTCCACTCACATCAGCAGGCTGTAAAAAGGAAGCCCAACATTACAGCTTTCAGCACCGTTGGCAGGAAGGTGGGCTGGGGGTTGCTGGCTTGCACATATCACCAATGAAAAGTGCAAAAAAAGAAGTGACAAAAGTCACTAAGTCACTCAACAGCATGCTGCCCTCCTCTCATCACTTCCCCTCCTTGCCCTTGGTTGCCTCCCTTCCGCCACAGCTGTTTTTTTGCCGATTCTTTGAGAAATAAGCTGGCTGCATCACCTCAACCATCAGCACATCAAGCCATGTGTGCACTGCTGGATCTCAGCTGGGGTCACTGTGCCCGCACCCTGACCTCGCATGTGGAACGACATCAGCATCTCTTATAGCACACAGATTCTCCAAAGGACCACCACAAGCAGTTGTCCCCCCAGCACCATTATCACAATGCCTCTGTCACCAACTTCCCCAGCGCAGCAGTGCGTGCGGTGAAGCGAGTAAACCATCTCAGCCTCGCTTGTTGGTATTGCAACCCCGAGCTCAGACCACAGCGGTGCCTGTGGGTTGTGGCGGAAAAGGGTGGAGGCGTGTGGCCAGGAGGCAGCTGAAGCGGTGAAAGGGGAAGCAGTAACCAAAATGCACCCGAGGCGCTCCCCAGCTTGGGGGCATCCTGCAACCGATCCCCAGCCCACGCCATAGGAGCCTTCACCCAGAGACATTTGTACAGGAACATAATGGAGAGCCATGAACTTTTGCCATTTTGACCTCTTCGTCCTGGATGACTCACGGATGAGATGGGGCAGATACATCCCTCCAGGACTTTGGGATTTCCTGCCCAGTCTGATCGCCACCCGGCAGATCCTACGAGAAGCGGCATTTTAGCTTCAGATGTGGCTTCTGTGTGGTGTTCTTTGCTTCTTGCCTGCGATGAGGAAAACCAAATGCATGTTTTGCACAAGATGTTTGTTCTGATATTGAGGTCTTGGGGGTCTGTG